GATAAAAACTCTCCAGAAAGTGGGAAAGAGGGAATCTACCTCAACATAATAAAAGCCATATATGACAAACCCACAGCAAGCATCATACTCAATGGTGAAAAACTGAAAGCATTTCCACTAAGATCAGGAACAATTCAAGGATGTCCACTCTCACCACTATTATTCAACATAGTTTTGTAAGTCTTAGCCACGGCAATCAGAGAAGAAAAAGAAATAAAAGGAATAGAAACTGGAAAATAAGTAAAACTGTCTCTGTTTGCTGATGACATGATACTATACATAGAAAATCCTAAAGATGCCACCAGAAAACTCCTAGAGCTAATCAGTGAATTTGGTAAGGTTGCAGGATACAAAATTAATACACAGAAATCTCTGGCATTCTTATATACCAACAACGAAAAATCAGAGAAATTAAGGACGCACTCCCATTTACCATTGCCAGAAAAAGAATAAAATACCTAGGGAATAAACCTGCCTAAGGAGGTGTACTCAGAAAACTATAAGACACTGATGAAAGAAATCAAAGATGACATAAACAGATGGAGAAATAGACCATGTTCTTGGATTGGAAGAATCAATATTGTGAAAATGACTATACTATCCAAGGCAATCTACAGATTCAGTGCAATCCCTATCAAACTACCAATGGCATTCTTCACAGAATTAGAACAAAAAATTTTACAATTCGTATGGAAACACAAAAGACCCTGAATAGCCAAAGCATTCTTGAGAAAGGAAAATGCAGGTGGAGGAATCAGGCTCCCCGACTTCAAACTATACCACAAAGCTACAGTAATCAAGGCAGTATGGTACTGGCACAAAAACAAATATAGATCAGTGGTACTAGATAGAATGCCCAGATAAACCTGTGCACATATGGGCACCTAATTTACGACAAAAGAGGCAAAAACATACAGTGGAGAAAAGATAGCCTCTTCAATAAGTGGTGCTGGGAAATCTGGACAGCTGCATGTAAAAGAAATTAGAACACTCCCTAACACCATACACAAAAATAAACTCCAAATGGATTAAGGACTTAAATGTAAGACCAGGCACTATAAAACTCTTAGAGGAAAACATAGGAAAAACACTCTTTGACATAAACCACAGCAAGATCTTTTTTGACCCACCTCCTAGAGTAACGGAAAAACAAAAATAAACAAATGGGACTTAATTAAACTTATAAGCTTTTGCACAGCAAAGGAAACCATACACAAGACAAAAAAGAGAGCCCTCAGAATGGGAGAAAATACTTGCAAATGAAACAACAGACAAAGGATTAATCTCCAAAATACACAAACAGCTCATGGAACACGATATCAAAAAACAATCCAGTTAAAGAATGGGCGGAAGACCTCAATAGACAGTTCACCAAGGAAGACATACAGATGACCAAGAGGCATATGAAAAGATGCTCAACATCGCTAATTATTAGAGAAATGCAAATCAAAAACTACAATGAGGTATCACCTCATGCCAGCCAGAATGGCCATTATCAAAAAATCTAGAAACAATAAATGATGGAAAGGGTGTGGTGAAAAGGGAACCCTCTTGCACTGTTGGTGGGGATGTAAATTGATACAACCACTATGAAAAACAGTATGGAGTTTCCTTAAAAAACTAAAAGTAGCACTACCATATGACCCAGCAATCCCACTACTGGGCATATACCCTGAGAAAACCATAATTCAGAAGAAGATATGTACCACAGTGTTCATTGCAGCACTGTTAACAATAGCCAGGACGTGGAAGCAACATAAATGTCCATTGACAGATGAATGGATAAAGATGTTGCACATATATGCAATGGAATATTAGTCAGCCATAAAAAGTTATTGAGTCATTTGTAGTTAGGTGGGTGGACCTAGAGTCTGTCATACAGAGTGAAGTAAGTCAGAAAGAGAAAAAGAAATACCATATGCTAACAAATATATATGGAATCTAAAAAAAAAAAAAAAAAAGGTACTGATGAACCTAGTTGCAGGGCAGGAATAAAGAGGTAGACATAGAAAATGGACTGGAGGACATGGGGTGGGAGGGCGAAGCTGGCGTGAAGTGAGAGTAGCATTGACATATATACACTATGGAATGTAAAGTAGTTGGCTGGTGGGAAGCAGCAGCATAGCACAGGGAAGTCGGCTTGCTGCTTTGCGGTGACCTGGAGGGGTGGGATAGGGAGGCTCAGGAGGGAGGGGATGTGGAGACGTGTATGCATATGGCTGATTTGCTTTGTTGTGCAACAGAAACTAACAGTATTGTGAAGCAATTATACTCCAATAAAGATCTATTAAAAAAACAAAAAAGCTACCATCTTGAGATGGAATTTAGGAGACCTAAGTTTTAGTTGCTACTCTGCCTGCCAAGAGCTGTGCAGCCATGAGTGCTTCTTAGCTTCTCTGTGCCTCAGTTTTCTCACCATAAATGGGAGTGTCAAACTAGGTTTCAAATCATACCTGTATAGTCATATTACTGTATTACTCAAAGAACAGCAGGTATTTCTAAGTGTCCATAAGAAAACGTCCGTATTTTCTTTCTTCCTTTGTGCATGATGTTATGTTGATAGATTATGTCATACTTCGTTGGAAGTATGTTCTGGCCATTAACATGGACTTAAGGAAAAAAACCTAAACAACTTATTTTTGAATAGGTGATACTTGCATTTAGTAAGAACTTAAAAAACATGCTCATATATATTGGAAAGAATTTTCCTTCCACCTTGAGTTCCAGTTCCTCTTTCTAAAGGCAGCCAGTGTCCCCAGTTTCTTGTGTGTGCATCCAGAGATTAACTATACGTTTATAATAATATGCAACCTGAAACCTTTTTTTAGAGTATGCAGGAAAGACAGGTTAATTGCAGGGGAAAAAGTAGAAAATGGTATGAGAGCTAAAATCCTCATCATAATAAATAGTTTATAGATGATGTTCCAAATTTATGAAAAGAGAAGTAATTAATTTTTAGAAGCATGAGGGTAAAATAGCTAAAAGAGATGAAAATGATTGCTGGGGGTGGCCTGCCATGGCCAGGATATGCAGGGTTTTTTAAAAAATATATGTATCTCTTGACTCTGTAACCTTTTGATAAAAATAAAAATTAAAAAGGAGAAAAGAAGAAAATGTGGATAAACAAATGAAACAAAATTGCCTGGTATTGTAACCCCAGGTGTAACCAGTTTATTTTCTTCCAGTTTTGTCTATACTTTAAAAAATAAGAAAAATTGAAAGGTATCACCCCCGCCCCCAAGGAAAAAAAAAAGGTAAATATGTGAGGTGATGAATGTGTTAATTAACTTGGGGGAATTCTTTCACAAGGTATATCAAATCATCACATTGTACTATGACTATTAAATATGTTAACAATTTTATTTGTCAGTTATACCTCAATAAAGCTAAAAAAAAGCTTGAAATAGTACAGCAAACACCTGTAAGCTATCACAGGTTTAACAGTTTTTAACATTTTTCCATATTTGCTTTGTATGTACTTATGTGTATGTGTGTGTGTGTGTATATATATATGTAATTTTTTCTGAATCCTTTGAAACAAATTGCAGATACGACAGTTCACCCTTAACTACTACTACTAGCTAATTACTGCTAAGCATGCATCTCTTACGAGTGACAGTGTCCTACATACCACAATACCATTATCACATGTAAGAAAATTAACACTAATTTCCTAGTATCATTTAAGTCATAATTTGAGGTTCCCCAGTTGACCCCAAAATGTCTTTTATAGTTAGGGTTTTTTCTTATATGCATTTTATTCTTTTGAACCAAGATCTAACCAGAGTTTATGCGTTACATTTGGTTATTACATCTCTTTAGTCCAGTACCCCACCTTTATTTTCGTGGCATTGAATTTTTGAAGACTATAACAGTTGTCTTGTAGAATGCCCATATGCTCATATATATATGTGTGTGTGTATATATATATATATATATGTGTGTATGTATATATATATATATATATATATATATATATATATATATATGTAAATAATTTTTTTTGCCGCACCACACAACATGCAGGATCTTAGTCCCCTACCAGGGATCGAACCTGTGACCTGTGCCCCCTGCAGTGGAAGCGTGGAGTCTTAATCACTGGACTGCCAGGGAAGTCCCAGCACATATATTTTTTAAAATAACAAAAGTGAACTTAACATTGGACATATTTTTGAAACTTCTGTTTTTTCACTTTAAAGTATTTTATGACTGTCTTTATAAGTTCACATTTTCGTTCATACATTCAGGGGTCTTCATAATCTGAGCTTAATATGCTTTTTCAGATTTCTGTCACTGCTCTCCAGCACCATCTTTTCCTCTCCTGAACTGTCTGCCATGGTGTCCAGTCATCCTCTCTACTTTTATTCATTATCCAGCATTAGTCCAACACAGTTAGCTCATATGTTTCCCTTACTTGAAATACCTTTGCTTATCTAAGTCATAGAATTTTACAATTTGTTGAGCAGTGTAAATTTTGTAGGACATAAGGCTGGCCTTCAAGTCCTAACTATGTGACTGACAAGCTATATGACTTTGTTAAGTCATTTCCTTTCTGAGACTAAGTTTCCTCAGCTGTAAAATGAGGGGTCAAGTTAAATGTCATTGAATAGCCCATAATTATCAAGGGATAAGTATTGTAGAAAAGTAAGTATTAGAGTTTAGAAGCAGAGGTATGTTGCTGTTGGGTGGTATGTGTCATGTATGTGATTGAATTTAAGCTGAATGGTCGTGAAGCCCAAGTGAAATAATTTATGTGAAAAGTTCTGAAAATAATGTTATATAAATGTAATGTGTTTTAGCAAACAAAACAGCAAGGTTCTTTGGGTGAGTGGGTGGGGATGTTCTGGGATGCTGATGGTGTAATTATTACAGTATTTTAAAGAGTTTCTTAGAACTTCAGGTGCCCTAATAGTACTACTTAAAACTTTAAAATTGGTACTACTCAGTGCTTTCCTAGGCGAGGATAATTATGGATCTGATATCTTCTCTTGTTCTTACAGCTCTATTATCAAGTCCTAAATTTTGGAATGATTGTCTCCTCGGCACTAATGATCTGGAAGGGGTTAATGGTCATAACTGGAAGTGAAAGTCCAATTGTAGTGGTGCTCAGGTAACAGTTTTTCTTTTCAAGGCATGGAATTGCATGGCATTACTTGGGAGAAAAATTGAAATGTTTAATAACTGATATGTCATTCCTTTAGACACTGCTCTTTCCCAGAAGAGGGCCTGGAAGAAAATTTGTTAGTCTTTCTCAATTGTGAGAAATTCTAAACCTTGTTAGGCACTTTCCATTCAGATCCCAAAGGGCTCATGACTTTTCTATGAAATGTTTATGTGAGCTTTATTTTTGGCACATCTGTTAAGAAAGTGTTTCAGTATACTTTATTTTCCTGAAATCCTTCTGTATTCTTACATTCTTTACTTTGGAATATCAGGAAATTTAATTTACAAGATTTACAAGATTATATATCATCTTTACAAATTAAGAATTTTTCTGCAGCATGTTTTCAGTGTCAGTATAGAATCATCACTAATTATTTCCATGTTTTCTGCTGACCTTTAAATATCACTTCTAAATAGACTTCAGGAATTCTGAGTATATTAATGCCATCTCTTAAAGTGACAAATAGTACTGGCTTTTTTTTCTCCACTGTCTTCCTTCCCTATCCTTGTACTCGTACTCTTAGGGATTTAAAAACCTAATGTAGCAACTCATTTTTGGAGAATTACCACTTGGTTATTTAATTGAATCATTGTAGTTCTATCTTATTTGGGGCTTAATTATGTAAGCTATCTCAAGTCTCTTCTGGAGATAATGGAGTATAAATATAAAATAAATTGAATCATTAACATTACCTAAAGTCTAGATAATAGTACATTATTCTTAACAAGATGAATTTGACTCTTTCATTGTCATACTAGGATATACTTCCAGCAGCAAGTGGTTGGAAGCACTGGGTCTCCAGTATCTTACTCCTCCCTTACTCATACCCATACCCTCGGTCTGAATTTATTAGTAATCAAATGCAACTGTGATTTTAGAGATCCAATGAAATGTCTGGAGTTTATTACCTGGGAAAACATTTAATGTACTATTCTAGGGGTATAGAGACTTGGGTCTCTAGCTTTTTCATTGTCTAACTACACCCTTGGGCAAGTCATTTATAGACTGAACCATAGTTTCCTCATCTATAAAATGAAGGCTAGACCTAGATGATGTCAGAAGACTTCCAGTTTTAAAATTATGTGGCCCTAAGTTCTCAGTCTTGAACTCAGTGGAGAGCTTCAATCTGTGAAGTGTTCAAACACTAACAGAAGGAGAAGCCACACTAATTGGCACTGTGGGGAAAAGCTGTAGAGAGAAGGCCCAGGGAGGCTTCTTTTGGAGATTCTTCTGGAATTATTTCAGATTGAGTTCTGTTCAGTGGAGATGTTTAAGTACAGTCTAATGACCTTTAAACTGGGAATGATGGAGTGAAGAGGAGATTAGACTAAGCACCTGTGGAACATTTTGGTGGTCCTGAAAATATCAGTTGGGGCTTAAAAGGAGTGTTTGGATAAGTTATTTGGTAGCTAGGTTATTTGTATACTAAGCTTTTCTGATTGCTGGTGTGGAATAAAGAAAAAAAATGAAAAGAGACCAGGTCATATTAGAAGAGAATCTGGTCAAGACTGGAGGGAGTAGTCATTAGAGAAAGGTAATTTATGTGATTGGGTGTTATTTATGTGATTTCATAAAACTTCAAGGAATATAATTTTTACCTGGAACCAAATGTGCCTCAGAGGACTCAGGCCAACTCAGAATCCACTTTTAGGACTTTCGTGAAACCACTGGGGATAAAGACAAAAATACTTTCTTATTATTTATTTTATTAACTGAAGTTTCAGGGAACATTGAAAACTGATTTTTTTCCCCCTTTGTGAAGCTGAAGTCAGTTTAATTTATTTTTATTTTTATTTATTTATGGCCAAGCCACGCAGCTTGCGGGATCTTAGTTCCCTCACCAGGGATTGAACCCGGGCCCCTTGCAGTTGAAGTGAGGAGTCCTAATTGGTGGACCACCCGGGAATTCCCCAGTTTAATTTATATATAAATTATTTATATATAACTTCTTATAAAATTGATCATGATTGATGTATTAAATTTTAAAGTATAGTTTAATCAGATAACAGTAAGAAGTTTATCAATAATTTACTTAATTTTAAAAAAGTTTCCCCTGGTTATTTCTTTAATGATCCTCTTACCACATGCTTTTATCTGTCTTTAATTGCCATCTGTATCTGAATTTTTAAATCTTTTCTTTTTTTGTAATCCAACTTTATTCCCTGAATCTAACTCTTGTTTTCTCACTAACATCTCTATCTGGATGTTGACCAGGCATTTGAAACTCCACCTAATAAAAGTAAAATTCATCTCCTTTTCCCAAAAACCTGTTCTTCTTCCTCCTATTTCTGTGACTGTCACGGCCACCTGCTCAGTTGCCAATGTTAAAAACCTAGGAGTCATTCTTGATCCCCTCTTCTGTCATAGCCAGTTGGCCATTGAATTTGTTATTATCCCTCTCTCTATTCTACCCTTTTTTAGCTGTCCTCCCTGCTGTTATTCTATTTCAAGCCCTCATTTCCTGTCTGGGCTGTTGTAACGACCTTTAAAAAAATGCTTTTATAATCAGAAAAAGGTTAATATATTTTCATTATATGAAATGTTGAAATCACAAAAAAAATCTAGATGAAACTAAGTCACCCATAGTTCTGGGATATAATCACAATTAACATTTTAGTCTCTTTTTTCATGTATATTATTTCTTACATAATTGAGGTAATTCTGTATGTGTATCCTTTTCTCAATCTTTTCCCCTTATCATTCTCCAGTGTCCATGTTTTTAATAACACTTTTAATAATTACCAAGTATTCACTTGTAAGTAATAGCCTGGACAACTGGTCTCCCAATTTACCTTCCCATCTTTTCCAGTTTACTCATCAATTCAATAAATATTTGAATGTCTTCTGTGTACTCTGTAGTTTCTGAAGTGATGTTTCTTAAATGCAAATATGATAATGATACTTCCTCCTAAAATTCTAGAGTATCTCAGAAGCAGTTTAGCACAGTGAGAGTGAACCTCCTTGGTTCAAATCTCACCTTTATCATTTTTTTAATTTACAACTCTAGGCCATTCTAAGCCTCAGTCTCCTTATCTATAAAGTTGGGATAATAATAGTACCTACATCATAGAGTTGTTCTGAAGATTGTTTTTTTAAAAAAAACTCTTAAAATTGGCACTCTGCATATAATAAGTGCTCAATAAAGATGAGTCATTCACCCAGAACAACTCAGCTTTTATCTGTTTCATTTATATCATTTTCAGGCAAGGGTTTTTTTTTTTCTTTTTCCGGTATGCGGGCCTCTCACTGTTGTGGCCTCTCCCGTTGCAGAGCACAGGCTCCAGATGTGCAGGCCCAGCGGCCATGGCTCACGGGCCCAGCCGCTCCGCGGCATGTGGGAACTTCCCAGACCGGGGCACGAACCCGTGTCCCCTGCATCGGCAGGCAGACTCTCAACCACTGCACCACCAGGGAAGCCCCTCAGGCAAGGTTTTATTTGAACAAAGGATGTCAATGATTTTAAAAAAGAGCCAAAATAAAAACTTGAAAATTTCATGTCTAGAATACCTTCTGTAATATTTTCACCAAACACATGTTCTATCTTTTGTCTGAACACCTTCTGAGAAAGGGAACTCATTGCCCCAAGAGGAACCTAAACAAAACTTTTAAGAATAAACATGTACTGAAAATTCATATTTCTAGTGGTTCCCGAATTTTGCTCATATTTATAATCACTTGGGATCTTTACAGAATACTGATGCCTGCTTCTCTCATCCACAGACATTCTGATTTAAGTGGTTTGAGATATGACCTGAGTGTGGGGATTTTTAAGTTTCCCAGGTGATTCTTGTGTGCACCAAAGTTTGGGAACCACTGCCATATTCCCTTATGTATGTAGAGGGACCAGAGTCTTCAAACAGAAGTGTTTAGACTTTGTCATTTTTGCTGTATTGAATTTTATTCCTTGTCTTCTATTTTTTCTTACTAAATTTATTGTTAATGAAAACTGGAGCTTGAGTTTCTGAAAACAATACTGATGGGCTACTTCTTTATGGAAAGAAAAGTTTCATTAATTAGTGCAAATATCTTAGGACCTTTGAAGAACTTGGTATAAGGTAGAACAGGTGAAAGGTAAGAAGACACTCTAGACGTTTGTCATCAGTAATTACCATGGAATTGAATTCTTTGCTTGTTTCTGAAATTCTTAGGCAAAAATCTCTGCTCTTATCCTTGGTTTTGTTTCTTGTTTCTCTTTTTTAAATAAATAAATTGATAGCACAAGCATTATCTCTGTCGCTGACTGTTCTTTGACTTGATGAGCTGTTTTTCCTTCTTGTTGGGTTGAAACCATAAGGTCATCTTGGTCTGTATCTTTATAAATGTCAGGAAAAGATGATCCAGTTCTCATCTGAATATCTTTAGCATTTTCAGATGAAGTGAGAATAAGGACAGTGATTATGAAGTTCACTCTTTTATATTGTTTGTCACTTGAAATTTTAAAAGGTTAAAGAATTAGTAACATTGCCCTTTTCAAAATTTAAGCTCCTTTGAATAGTAATGGTTGAAATGGAACTGGTTAATGAAGGCTATTAACTAAAGGAAACCTGTAGTATAACTAGTCTGAGGAAACCATATTTGGAGGACAATACACATTTTATGTTGATATATTTGTTAAGATATTAAGTATATTCCAAAGGTGATACTTCTAATTGTTTGTTGCATATCTAACTTTGAAAGTAAATTTAATCTCAGGCTTTCTTTTGCTATTATATTCTTCTTTCCCTCCCAGTGGCAGCATGGAACCTGCATTTCATAGAGGAGATCTTCTCTTTCTAACAAATCGAGTTGAAGATCCCATACGAGTGGGAGAAATTGTTGTTTTTAGGATAGAAGGAAGAGAGATTCCTATAGTTCACCGAGTCTTGAAGATTCATGAAAAGTATGTGCAAGCTATATCTTCTCTATTTTAAAACATTTTTATGTTTTAGTGTTTGCAGCATTTAATTTTGATAGCCTAAAGATTAAGAAAGGGTGGGGAACTCCTAGGTCCTTCTTCCAGTCCATTTTTATGAATGTCTGAAGGTTTGGTGAACATTTGGAAGACTAAATACTTATTTAGTAATTCATTTTTCCCTGAAGACTTTTCTGGAGGATTTTCTTGGTTCCCTTCCACTTCCCAACCAGATCAGTAACACTGTCTGTATATTGCCCCAGAAAAAACATGACACAAAGGTTGATCCCAAATAGAATCTTCTGGTATAATGGACGAGGTAGCCCTAACCTTTCAAAAACAAACCTTTAAGGCAATCTCACAGATATTTTAAATAAGAATAAGTTTGTCAACTTTTTCAAATTCCAAAGAAAATTTCTGAAATCTAAGTTATTCTTGTAAATATAGACACTTGCGTTTTAGAATTGAAAAGGATAAATGTAAAACCTTGAGAATCCCCTGGTGTGGAGGAGGGACATAACAACGAGCAAAAAATGTCACCTCTCTGGGTCTCAGTTTCCCTGTCTGTAGTAGAAAGAGGTTCAGGAAGATGAACTATAAGATCTCTGGGTTCAATATTTTAAGATAACTTCAAATGGAGTATAATCTGTAAAAATTTTGGATCCCTCTGTTGTATACCTGAAAACTAATATAATATTGTAAATCAACTATATACCTCAATAAAAAATAATAATAAAGTATGCAGGAAAAAAAAAAAGATCTCTGGGCTCTAAGCCTATGTTTCCCTGTGCAGCTACATATTCCTCACCCCCTCCATTCCAAGTCTGTAGTATTTCTAGTTAAGGAAAACTTTCAGAAGGAAGGAAAAGGGAGTGTTCTGGAGGACATACAGAGGGAAGTAAAACAGTGGGAGTGATGTAGGTTCTTGAGTATGAGGAAGCCCTAAATAGATACTACCTCATGCTTACCACCCTCTCAAATAGTTTACATTCTTCACTTCCAGAAGAGGGAATTGTCAGCTGTTTTTTTGAAAAATCCCTGTAAACATTCTAGCTTAGAAAAGTTCTTTCTTCACTGATAAAATAAAGATCTTACTGCTCTTTTTTTTCCATACTTCAGTATATTGGAAAATTATAATTTTTATATTGCATTCTATTAGTGACTAGGAAGGAATAACTTAGTTTTTTTAAATTTTACTTTTATTTATTGTGAAGGTTTATTCAGTACAGGTAGTGTTTTCCACATTCTCAAAGTATATTTGTGTTTTTGTTCCCAGCACTGCCTGTTGTGAACAAATCAAAACCAACTTTCCCCTGAATTTATCAGAAAAAAATCACGCCCTGCTTTGGGTAGAGCAGAAGTTGTCCATTTTTATGTGTGATCCTTTGAAATTGAGTTATTTATTTTAGAATAGGTATTTATTTATTTATTTATTTTTATTTTTGGCTGCATTGGGTCTTCGTTGCTGCGCATGGGCTTTCTCTAGTTGCAGCAAGCGGGAGCTACTCTTCGTTGCGGTGCACGTGCTTCTCATTGCGGTGGCTTCTCTTGTTGTGGAGCACCAGCTCTAGGCACACGGGCTTCAGTAGTTGTGGCTTGCGGGCTCTAGAGCGCAGACTCAGTAGTTGTGGTGCACGGGCTTAGTTGCTCCGTTGCATGTGGGATCTTCCCAGACCAGGGCTCAAACCCATGTCCGCTGCATTGGCAACTGGATTCTTAACCACTGTGCCACCAGGGAAGTCCCAAGTTTTTTATTTTAAAACAGTTATCTTGTTTCAGGACAGGTTCACTGACATATATCCATTACAGATTCCTTAAATTTAACAGAATTGTGAACATTTTAAACTGTATGGTGTTTTTAATCTGACATTATTGGTCATTTACTTTAAACATTTGAGATGCCTTCAATTAGCAGGCCTGTTTAAATAACAGATCCTATTAATCTTCTGAAGTTTCAAATTTCCTTTTTTGGGGTGGGGGGAATACTAAAATACCTGGTTGTAATAATCATTTGATTTAATAGTATTAACATTGTTCTTAAATATGGGACCAAATGACAACCAAAATGGATTAAGTTTTGTTTTTGTTTTTTTTTTCGGTATGTGGGCCTCTCACTGTTGTGGCCTCTGCCATTGCGGAGCACAGGCTCCAGACACGCAGGCTCAGCGGCCATGGTTCACGGGCCCAGCCGCTCCGCGGCATGTGGGATCTTCCCGGACCGGGACACGAACCCGTGTCCCCTGCATCGGCAGGCAGACTCTCAACCACTGTGCCACCAGGGAAGCCCTGGATTAAGTTTTTGTAGTAAATGTGTCCTGAACGTTTTCAAGCTGGTTTTTGCACTGTTAACACGTTTCTGTCATCTGAACCTTGTTTTAAGAAATGAAATCCTGAGCTTTAAGAATAGAGGTAGAAAAAAAAAAAAATAGAGGTAGGAATTGTTCAGCTAACCTCTCTCTTGTCTCATTCCTCCTTCTCCATCTACTTTTTTTTTAATATAAATTTGTTAGTTAAGTAATTTATTTATTTTTGGCTGTGTGGGATCTTCCCAGACCAGGGCTCAAACCTGTGTCCCCTGCATTGGCAGGCAAATTCTCAACCACTGCGCCACCAGGGAAGCCCTACTCTTTTTTCTGATAAATTTTATTTATTTATTTATTTGTTTGTTTGTTTGTTTGTTTGTTTGAACCTGGACAGGGACTTGAACCCTAGGCCCTCAGATTAAAAGTTCCATCTGCTTCTTATGTAAGTTTGTAAATATAACATAAAACTTTTTTTTCATATATTGAATCTCCATCTTATGAACATTCTTATTACATTATTATTCTTACACATGATGCTGTGTGAAATTGGAAAATACAAAATTGCCTGTAATCCTAGCATCCAGAGACAAAATGTTAAGTTTGGGGTCATTCTCTTTTTGTCTTATAAACACGTTTTCCTCCCTGTGCAACACTGGGATCTGCTCAATACTACCTTTTTTTTTTTTTTTTTAACATCTTTATTGGAGTATAATTGCTTTACAATGTTGTGTTAGTTTTTGCTGTATAACAAAGTGAATCACCTATATGTATACATATATCCCCATATCCCCTCCCTCTTGCACCTCCCTCCCACCCTCCCTATCCCATCCCTATAGGTGGTCACAAAGCACTGAGCTGATCTCCCTGTGCTATGCAGCTGCTTCCCCCTAGCTATCTATTTTACATTTGGTAGTGTATATATGTCAGTGCTACTCTCTCACTTCATCCCAGCTTACCCTTCCCCATCCCCGTGTCCTCAAGTCCATTCTCTGTGTCTGCATCTTTATTCCTGTCCTGCCCCTAGCTTCATCAGAACCATTTTATTTTTTATTTTTTGGTTCCATATATATGTGTTAGCATACGGTATTTGTTTTTCTCTTTCTGACTTACTTCACTCTGTATGACAGACTCTAGGTCCATCCACCTCACTACAAATAACTCAATTTCGTTTCTTTTTATGGCTGAGTAATATTCTTTTGTATATATGTGCCACATCTTCTCTATCCATTCATCTGTCGATGGACACTTAGGTTGCTTCCATGTCCTGGCTATTGTAAATAGAGCTGCAATGAACATTGGGGTACATGGCTCTTTTTGAATTATGGTTTTCTCAGGGTATATGCCCAGTAGTGGGATTGCTGGGTCATATGGTAGTTCTATTTTTAGTTTTTTAAGGAACCTCCGTACTATTCTCCATAGTGGCTGCATCAATATACATTCCCACCAACAGTGCAAGAGAGCTCCCTTTTCTCCACACCCTCTCCAGCATTTATTGTTTGTAGATTTTTTGATGATGGCCATTCTGACCGGTGTGAGGTGATACCTCATTGTAGTTTTGATTTGCATTTCTCTAATGATTAGTGATGTTGAACATCCTTTCATGTGTTTGTCGGCAGTCTGTATATCTTCTTTGGAGAAATGTCTATTTAGGTCTTCTGCCCATTTTTGGATTGGGCTGTTTGTTTTTTTGGTACTGAGCTGCATGAGCTGCTTGTATATTTTGGAGATTACTTCTTTGTCAGTTGCTTTGTTTGCAAATATGTTCTCCCATTCTGAGGGTTGTCTTTTCGTCTTGCTTATGGTTTCCTTTGCTGTGCAAAAGCTTTTAAGTTTCATTAGGTCCCACTTATTTATTTTTGTTTTTATTTCCCTAACTCTAGGAGGTGAGTCAAAAAAGATCTTGCTGTGGTTTATGTCATAGCGTGTTCTGCCTATGTTTTCCTCTAAAAGTTTTATTTATGGGACTCTCTGCACTTCCTGGACTTGATTGACTGTTTCCTCTCCCATGTTAGGGATGTTTTCAACTATAATCTCTTTAAATATTTTCTCAGACCCTTTCTTTTTTCTTCTTCTTCTGGGACCCCCTATAATTCGAATGTTGGTGCAATTAATGTTTGAGGTCTCTGAGACTGTCCTCAATTCTTTTCATTCCTTTTTCTTTATTCTGCTCTGTGGTAGTTATTTCCACTATTTTATCTTCCAGGTCACTTGTCTGTTCTTCTGCCTCAGTTATTCTGCTATTGATTCCTTCTAGAGAATTTTTTATTTCATTTATTGTGTTGTTCATCATTGTTTGTTTGCTCTTTAGTTCTTCTAGGTCCTTCTAAATGTTTCTTATATTTTCTTCATTCTATTTCCAAGATTTTGGATCATCTTTACTATCATTTCTCTGAATTCTTTATCAGGTAGACTGCCTATTTCCTCTTCATTCGTTTGTTTTGGTGGGTTTTTACCTTGCTCCTTTGTCTGCTGCATATTTCTCTGTCTTCTCATTTTGTTTAACTTACTGTGTTTGGGGTCTCCTTTTCGCAGGCTGTAGGTTCATAGTTCCCGTTGTTTTTGGTGTCTGCCCCCAGTGGGTAAGGTTGGTTCAGTGGCTTGTGTAGGCTTCCTGGTGGAGGGGACAGGTGCCTGTGTTTTGGTGGGTGGGGCTGGATCTTGTCTTTCTGGTGGACAGGGCCACATCCAGTGGTGTGTTTTGGGGTGTCTGTGAACTTAGTATGATTTTAGGCAGCCTCTCTGCTAATGGATGGGGCTGTGTTCCTGTCCTGCTAGTTGTTTGGCATGGGGCATCCAGCACTGGAGTTTGCTGGCCGTTGGGTGGAGCTGGGTCTTAGCGTTGAGATGGAGGTCTCTGGGAGAGCTCTTGCTGATTGATATTACGTGGGGCTGGGAGGTCTCTGGTGGTCCAGTGTCCTGAACTTGGTTCTCCCACCTCAGAGGCTCAGGCCTGACACCACGCTGGAGCACCAAGACCCTGTCAGCTGCACGGCATTGCGTTGACTGGCTCTCCATCACCATGACTGTGGCAGGCAAGGTTTGTGGGCACGACTTCAGCTACCTGGGAAAAGCTCTGATATGACATCAGAACTTATTTCTGCAACTATCTGGAAAAATCCATACTCGACTTTTTCCCATCTTCTCCAGCTGTAGAATATCTGCCCTCCAAGCAGCACATAACCTAAACAATGAGATGTTTGCCTCAGTTGTTTCCCAGAAACTTGGAGTCAGCTTTGTCCTCAGTACTATTTTGTAACATGATTATCTCATGAGCATATGGTAGAATATACCTGGTATTACCACATACGCAAAGAATTCCTGAACTAAAAGCTGACCTTGCCAAGTACTACTTAATATGATGGTACTAGGTCCATGAATTTGAATCTGTTCTTTGTGCCCAGTGTAGTTCATCTAGTCCTGCCTGTTATCCACATGAGACTAATTTTGTGTCCTGAACTATCTGACTAGGCAATGGAAAGTGCACGTTATCAAGGGCTTCTCTCTAACGCACTACTGAGCTCAGGAAAAATTCCCTTTACAGAAACATTAAGTAATTTCCGATATTTGGGGACAATAGGAAATTGTGAGAAAGTGGTTGGCATTGGAGTTTTTGTTTGGAGATTGTGTTATCCCTTAATCATTTTATCTTTTTAAAAATTATTTTATTTGTTTTTTTAAACTAAACGTGTTACAAGATATTAAATATAGTTCCCTGTGCTATACTGTAGGTCCTTGTTGTTTATCTATTTTATACGTAGTAGTGTGTATCTGTTAATCCCAAATTTATCCCTACCCCCTGGCATTGTTTTTTTTTAAAAAAAAAAAAAAAAGACTTAACCACCTCCTGCACTGATTATAGTTAATACTGTATTTTTAATTAAGTAAAAAAAGGAGAGCTATGAGATATGCATACAGGTAAGGTTATATGTACTGTGGCAAACAGCAAAAAAACATCTTCTTTGAATCCTTCTCTCCCGTTGCCTATTTCTTGGTTTCCATTTTCTTCCAAAATGGACGAGTTAGGAAAGCAGAGATAGTGAAGTTTGTTTTTTAATTTAAAAGGTGAGATAGCTATTAAATGTTTATCAGTTGACTTAATTTTCGTGGGTAGCTCCTCGTATTAGCCTGTTAGTCAGCAATTCGTAATACTTAACATTTTTCCCACATATAAACTCTTACTTTATCTTATTTTATAGCCTACTCTAATATGTATTTAGTAAGTTCAGCCTATAGGTAGTATTATAATTTGATAATATTGAATACTGGCATGTGATCAAGTATTTAGAAGGAGAATTCTCCATTGGGGTGACTTAGTCCTTTGCTTTGCTTTTTCTGTGCAGATAGATACATTATTTTGCACCCATTTGGCTCTTGGGGTCTTACTTTATCTTATCTAAATTATTTCCTCCCTCCTAACATCACAGTATTGTAATGGTTGAGTTTTAAGTGCTTTGAACTCCTTGGAGATAGATAATACTAAATATTTGGTCCCTATGCAAGCGAGGGAAAAGTCCCATATAAAGTGTTGTCAATCAGGATTCGGTGCTCGTGGGTTGTGAAGTGCTAGAATAGGTCTTCATAGTAGGCTTAATAGGAGCTGGTTGCCACCAGAGAATATTTCTTGCACTATTTTTTTTTAATTTTTAAAAATTAATTAATTGATTATTTTTGGCTGTGTTGGGTCTTCATTTCTGTGCGAGGGCTTTCTCTAGTTGGGGCAAGCAGGGGCCACTCTTCATCGTGGTTCATGGGCCTCACTATCGCGGCTTCTCTTGTTGCGGAGCACAGGCTCCAGACACGCAGGCTCGGTAGTTGTGGCTCTCGGGCCTAGTTGCTCCGCGACATGTGGGATCTTCCCAGACCAGGGCTCGAACCCGTGTCCCCTGCATTGGCAGGCAGATTCTCAACCACTGCGCCACCAGGGAAGCCCTCTTGCACTATTAAGTAGATGAAGGAAACCTGTACTTTTTCAAACAGCTATAGTGGGTCCTGATTACATCCCGGGGGGGGGGGAATTGTGTTTGTTTGTTTTGTTGACAAATTAGTCTTTGGGAATAGCTCATCTCTCGTAGCATCCCTTTCCTTTCCTGGGGCATTTCCCATTTCCCAGCTTTTCTTTCCTCATACTTTACTTTTCTGCCTCTTTTCCTGGTGTTATTTCCTGGTTGAATGGACTGTTCTTCCTGCTGCTCCTGACTTTCACTCTGCAGCTAGCCCCCCCTTGGCACCTGTCCTCTTTTACCCTCCAGGATTTTTCAAACATTCTTTCACTTACTGAGTTGTCAGCTACAGATTATTTTTCTCTGTATATATTTGCATTTTTTCTAATTGGAATCTCATTTTTAATGAGACTGTTTGCACTTGACTGTTTTTGGTGTTGCAGCACCTCCCAATTTAGTTTTATCTGCAGATGATTTAGTGTCTAGTGAGCCAGTTTCTGGCTTAGAATCTAAGTGGATATTAGTCAGTAGGAGTTAAAGCTATTTTTCTTCTTTCTAGTGTAGCTGTTAACCCAAACTCACTTGAGTTAATTCTTTTTTTTTTTTTTGCGGTACGCACATCTCTCACTGTTGTGGCCTCTCCCATTGCGGAGCACAGGCTCTGGACGCGCAGGCTCAGTGGCCATGGCTCACGGGCCTAGCCGCTCCATGGCACGTGGGATCTTCCCGGACCAGGGCACGAACCCGTGTCCCCTGCATCAGCAGGCGGACTCTCAACCACTGCACCACCAGGGAAGCCCTTGAGTTAATTTTTTAAGATAGTCTTTATCAACTGTAGAATGCACTTTGCTTTCAGTTAAGTTTTAAGATTACTTGAAGCCTCATGGTTCCTTAGTAGAATTAAATTAATAATTATCTGATCGAGTAGGATGATGTTTCTGTAGACCCTGGCTTGTAAAAGTAGTGCATGTTTGTTGGAGAAAAAAAATGAAAAGCTAAAAGCCAGCTAAAAAAAAGCCATAGATAGCTGCTGTTTACACCTTGGTCTATCATTTTAGACCTTGTTTAATATTTTTCTTTTTTACTTTTTTTTTCATATGGAGAATTTCTAACATGCACAGAAGTAGACAAAACAGTATAATGAACTTCCATATATCAGTCACCTAGTTCCAATAATTATTAATCTATAGCCAATTCTGCCTACATTACCACCTCTTCCCCTTCTCCTGCCTGTATTACTTTGAATCAAATCCTAGATATCATGTGGTATCATATGTAAATATTTCAATAAATAGCTATAAAACATAACCAGTGAGCTTTTAAAGAGTATAACTGTAATTAACATTCTTACACCTAAAAAAATGATCATTCCTTTGTATCATTAAGTTTCCAATCTTTGTTCAAATTTCCAATTGTGTCTTAACTTTTTTTAACAATTTGTTTGAATCCAGATTCAAAGAAGGTCCTCAGTTGCAGTTGGTTGATATGGCTTTATAATGTCTTTTATTTAAATCTGTAAATTCCTTCTCTAACTTTCTTTGTCCCTTGCAATTTATTGGTTGAAGAAACTGGGTCATTCTGTAGTTTCCCACAGTCTTCGTTTGGAAGATTATATCCAAACGAAGTAGTTTAATGTGTTCCTTTGTGCTTTGTATTTCCAAAATATTGGTGGTTTGTGTTTATTTTAATATGAAAATGATATTATACTATACATGCTATTTTGTAATATTTTTTCACTTAATAAAATTTGTATGATCTTCTGATGTCATTAAATTTTCTTCTGTATCACCGACCTTAATGCTTGCATAGATTTCAACTTCTGTTAGACTTTGTTTGCTTCCAGTTTTTTCTTATTGTAAACAATATAGCTATGAACATCCTTTTAGCTAAATAAATAATTATTTTGATATTGGGAATGATGATAAAATGCCACAGTTCCACAGGAATTTTCAGTTAACATGAACAAATTTTGTACTTTCAAATGGCATGAAGGTATTTGGTGACTTGGGTTTCCCTTACTCTTTTAAGGCAAAATGGACATATCAAGTTTTTGACCAAAGGAGATAATAATGCGGTTGATGACCGAGGCCTCTATAAACAAGGACAACATTGGCTAGAGAAAAAAGATGTCGTGGGGAGAGCGAGGGGGTAAGTATAGAGGGGAGATTTACTGAAACATTGGCTCTCTCGATCATATTGTCTGATCATACACAATTGAATATAATGGTTTGGTCCTGGTTTGGCCAAATCACCTTGTGTCCTTTGAAAAAGTATATGCTTCTTAAATTGCATATGAAACTTCAGGTTTACTGCTCCAGAAGGGAGGATATGGGGTGCTATAAAAGAACAGAATATTAGTGATGAGGATGAATTAGAGTGCCAATTTAAAAAATTCATTTGTCTGTTTAATTCATTTCAGAAATGTTACTGGGCACCTTCCATGTAGTCTGATGTCTAATACTGTGCTAAGCTCTGGGGATCCAGAGCGGTATTAATCCTGCTTCTTGAAACTTACATTTCTTAAGTGTTTACTGAGTCAGCAACTTAAAGTGTTCATCTAGATTAATTTCATCATGTTGATTTATTCCATATTGTTTTATTTCTAGTTTTGAAATTATTGAGGTCAAATGAAATTTAAAAGTTATATTAAGCCTGTTTATTTCAGATTTTATCAGGAGAACAGATCAGTGAAGGACAGGAATTGTAAGTTACTGGTATGAGGAAGTATGGGATTATTACTACCTTCATGTTATTAATACTATTAACAATAACTCACATTTATTAGGGCTTACTCTGTGCCAGAGACTCATTCTAAGTGCTTTGTTTACAAGTATTACCTCATTTTAACCTCAGAACAACCCTAATATTTCCATTCTACAGATGAGGAAACACAGACATGTTAGGTTGTTTATCTAAGGTCACACTGATGATAGTAAGTGGCTGGCTGACTCCAGAGCCCACCCTTTTAACCATCATAGCAAAATTACTGGTATAACACTTCTGAGATGGGTAGCTGCTTGTTCTCACTCTTTAGATGCTACATGGCACTCTTATCCACTGTCAGAACACCTGCTCCTTCTAACCTAGAACAGACACTGTGGATTCAGTGATTCCACTAGTGAACAGTGGAACAGTGGAACTGAGGAACTGTGTTCCCATAAAAAAATAAATTCAAGTTATTAAGTAAAAGCTGCCTCAGTTACAGCAGAAGAGATGTTCAGTTTGGGGCCAGAGAGATCGGATCAGAAAAAGCACCAATGTGTTTTGTCTTCAGCAGACCTGGTTTTTTGTGCACACCTCCAGTTCAAGGGAACTTGATTGCCTATGATGGAGCTAAACATACTTTTATAATTCAAATTAGATTATCAGTGCTTCTGAGAAGTGATAGTCCCCATTTCCCTCAGTTCCCAAGGTGCTGCTAATATCAGCCTCTTAGAGTCTTTTTGCTTTTCCTTTAATTGCAAATGTACAGATTCTTGTAGAAACATAAGGATTGACAGTCATCAAAAAGCAGAGTCACTTCTTTCCTTTCAGTTCCTCCATAAATATTTAATTTTTTGGTTTGTGTTCTTTTAGCCGGTATGTGTAAAGATGCAGATCTTAATGTATAAGTGTGTATACATAAACACATTTTGTGTACGGGGAGAGAGTGGTCACACTGCTTATAACCTCTTTTTTATCCTCCAGTGTTATTAGTATCTATAAATCAAAAAATTTATTTCCATATCATCATTTTCAAATCTGTATGCTACTCTACTGTGTGCAAAGACCATATTTTTATTTAGCCAAAATCTCCTATTGTCAGATTCCTTTGATTGTGAGCAGTGTTATGATGAGCATCCCTGTTACATATATCTCAGTGCCTCTGCCCAATCATTTCTTCACAGTAAATTCTTATACGTGGAATGACCTGGTGAAACATAAGCATATTTTAAGGCTTTGGACAAATTTTGCTGTACAGTTTTATTTGTACTCCTCCCAGAGGGTCCCTTTATCTGGATCTTGATTCTTAGGTGTTTAGTGCAGCTCTGTCTGCTCATTCTGGCCCCCTGTTTGGGTAAAAAAATGCATCATCCTATGGAAGGGTGGAGGAACCAGGCTTTCTTTTACTCAAGTAACTTGTCTTTTCTAAAGAAGTTTTTTAAAGTCCCAAACTATGTACAGTGTTATTTCTAAAATCCCAGCATTGAAAGTTATAGGCCTTTTTCTGGCTGTTCATTAAAAAAGTGTTATAGTCTGGTACTCTCTTAATTAAATAACTTTCCATGAAGTATAAACATCTGGGACATGAACAGCAGGAGCACAGAATCTTAACTGTACAAATTCACTTTCCGTTGATTATGTCACCACTTACCTTGACACATAATGAGGCACATCACCTCCTTTTGTGAAAATTGTGTTTATAAAATGCTAAACTATATTTCAGAGTCAGACTGTACCCAAACCTTGGAATTTTTTTTTTTCAAACAGCTGCACACTAAAAAATTTTATACTGAAGCCTAAAGCCCTAAATAAAAACAAGTTTAAACAATTTTTTATTGAAATATAATTCACATATATTAGGATATAAAATTTACCCTTTTAAAGTGTACAGTACAGCGAGTTTTATTATATTCACAAAGTTGTAAAACCATCACCACTGTTTAATTCCAGAACATTTCCTCACCCCAAAAAGAGAACTTGGTACTGATTTGCAGTCACTCCTCATCCCCTTCTCCCTGCAGCCCCTGGCAACCACTAATCTACTTCCTGTCTCTATGGATTGCCTGTTCTGGACATTTTATATAAACAGAATCTTACAATATGTGGTCTTACAATATGTCCGGCTTCTTTCACCTAGCCTCATGTTTTCAAGGTTCATTCATGTTATAGCATGTAATAAAACACTTTTAGAAGGTGAAACTAATACTGAACCAAGTAAGAATAGGGGTGATTCTTTCTAAATTCAGGTTGAAAAACACAAGAGAACCTGTTAGTCAAAGATGAGTAGAAAGCAACAGGAAAAGAGGATGGAAGCCTGGCAGAAGATGAGGGAATAGAGAAATATTGTCAGCGAAAAGAAGAATAAAAATGAAGGAGCAGAGTAATTGAGCTCTCTGTTGACTGAAATCAGTTTTATGGAGGAGGCTTTTATTTATTTATTTATTTATTTATTTATTTATTTTTGTCTGCGTCTGGTCTTAGTTGTGGCACACAGGATCTTTGTTGCCACGTGCGGGATCTTCAGTTGTGGCATTCGAACTCTTAGTTGCAGCATGCATGTGGCATCCAGTTCCCTGACCAGGGATCGAACCCAGGCCCCCTGCATTGGGAGCATGGAGTCTTAGCCACTGGACCACCAGGGAAGTCCTGGAGGAGTCTTTTAAAATGTACTTTTTACTTAGCTTGAAACAGACTGTTCCAGGATAGAAACAATGGTCCTTTTTAAGGCAGCTACTGGGGTCCAAACTTCCCAGTCATAGATCCCTTTTGACATCTGACAGATTATTTTCACCCAGAGCATCAGCAGATAGTTCTTCCTTCTGAGGCTCCTTTCTTGGCAGCACCTTTGATCCCAAGAACTCCCAGGGACACGTATTTACCCCTACTGTACCTTCTAGATGTTGCCTTGCCACAGGCTGGTGTTGAGGTTGGCTTTGTGGATGGCATTTGTTTTACTTATTTTAAACCTCTGCTTATTATCAACTCTGCTTTAGCAGAGTTTATCTGAACTCAGTAGGAAGAAAGTGCAACTGATTTGAATTTAAGATGACTGATGATAGCAGCATTATGCACTTGATTAGCAACTCTTGACTGTCTGTGTCCATGAAGGAAAACAGTAATATAGGTAATTAAATCTTTTGTTTGACTTTGGACTGCCTGTCATATTCTGGCAACCTTATGTTTTCCTTCTGTTACTCCTAAAGATAAAGTTGCTTCTATTTCACACTTACAGTGGGCAAGGAAAAACCACCTTGGCGGGGGGCGGGGGGGGGATGTTTCCATGGACAACCCATAAGCAGACTGTGTGATCATTGTGGTTCTTTGAGTATAGATATCATTGTATGGAGGTAACAGTCAAAGTCTCTACCCATGAGCATGGCTGCTGATTGATCATCAGGCCAGAATTAGCAGTCTGATGTTGTTTTATTTATTTAAAAAAATTTTTTTTTAGATTTTTATTTTATTTTCTTAATTTTGGCTGCGTTGGGTCTTCATTGCTATGTTGGGCCTTCTCTAGTTGCGGTGAGCAGGGGCTACTCTTCGTTGCAGTGCGCAGGCTTCTCACTGCGGTGGCTTCTCTTGTTGCGGAGCGCGGGCTTCAGTAGTTGTGGCACACAGGCTCAGTAGTTGTGTCTTGTGGGCTCTAGAGCACAGGCTCAGTAGTTGTGGCATACGGGCTTAGTTGCTCCGCGGCATGTGGGATCTTCCCAGACCAGGGCTTGAACCCGTGTCCCCCTGCATTGGCAGGCGGATTCTTAACCACTGTGCCACCAGGGAAGCCGCTGATGTTGTTTTAATAGAAGTCACAGATGCTTTTATAGCTTTTAATCTGCATTTTACTATAAGGCATTTGCCTTTATGTTCTTAAATTTAGACGATTTTCCTTCTGAAAGACTGGAAACTGTTGCTTTTATGAAGATGTTATAAGTGAGACAAAAGAAATAGAGTTGTTGCATTAAAAAGAAAAAATAGGTGTATTAAAAATATAGAAAACCTTTATCCACCCTCCTAGAGCTTAGCTAGTCCATTCTGTAGTGACTGTTACTTTTCAGCTCTTAGAGGTCCCAGGGGTTGAAAATAAAGCATGGGCCCTAAAGGGGGATATGATTTGTCACCACATGCCTGTTCCATACATCTTGCTTGCTAGAACTGTGCTTCTTGTACTTTAATGTGCAGAAGCGTCATTTGGGCCCGACCTTCCAGAGGTGCTCTGACTCAATAAATCTGGGAAGATAGAGCAATCTGCACTTTTTTTTAAAATTATTTATTTATTTATTTTTGGCTGCGTTAGGTCTTCGTTGCTGCACGCAGGCTTTCTCTAGTTGCAGCAAGCGGGGACTACTCTTCGTTGCGGTGCACGGGCTTCTCTTTGTGGTGGCTTGTCTTGTTGAGGAGCATGGCCTCTAGGAGTGTGGGCTTCAGTAGTTGTGTCTCGCGGGCACTAGAGCGCAGGTTCAGTAGTTGTAGCGCACAGGCTTAGTTGCTCTGCAGCGTGTGGGATCTTCCTGGCCCAGGGCTCAAACCCGTGTCCCCTGCATTGGCAGGTGGATTCTTAACCACTATGCCACCGGGCAAGTCTGCAATCTGCTTTTTTTTTTTTTTTTTTTTTTAACATCTTTATTGGGGTTTTTTGCGGTACATGGGCCTCTCACTGTTGTGGCCTCTCCTGTTGCGGAGCACAGGCTCCAGACGTGCAGGCTCAGCAGCCATGGCTCACGGGCCCAGCCGCTCCGCAGCATGTGGGATCTTCCCGGACTGGGGCATGAACCCGTGTCCCCTGCATCAGCAAGTGGACTCTCAACCACTGCGCCACCAGGGAAGCCCCGCAATCTGCATTTTTAATGAGCCGTCCAAGTGATTCTCACGATGGAGGTGTAGGTTTTAAGAAACATCAACTTATGCGAATGGGAGTTTGGGGATGGGGAGAGAGAGATGAGTCTGGGTAGTGCTGCCAGAGGGAGAGGGGCAGGATGGGGTGAGGACAGGAGACGGGAAGTAAGAGGAGCTCTTAAAAGGAAGTAAAATGCACCAAAGACAAAGCTTCTGTTTTTCAAGATTGCCAAAGCCTCTGATGGTTAGAGGTGTTATATAGGAGGTAATTTCTGTTTGGGTACCTTCGGTGTGTGCAAAGGTTGTGGGTGCCCTGAATAAAAGTATCTGGGATATTTTAAAGTATGCAAAGGTCAACCTCCCTTCTCTAGGACAGGTTCTAGGATGGTATCACCCAGTCCACTCTGGAATCCTACAGTAGAAGAGGAAGAGAAAGAAGCAAGTTTTATATTTCTAACTGCTATTTCCTCCCACATCTCTCTCTACCCTGAATTCTTATGATGTTGAAGAGTCTTTTGTTTTGCGGGGAGAATTGAAGTCCGGGGAGGAAGTGAGATCCCCAAGAGAAAGAGAAAAGAAGAGGCCTGGATATTCCAGCATTCAATCAGGCAGTATTTACTGGATGCCTGCTATGTGCCAAGTGTCAAGTTTGGCCTTGAAGATACAGTGGAGAAGAGATTGGCACTGTTTCTGCCTTTATAGAGCTTAGAGTCTAGTAGGGGAGACAGACACTATCCAACTAGTAGGGCAACTAATTCTGTAATTAAACTCATGATGAAGACTTCAAAGGAAATATATGAAGTGATATGAGATTATTTAACAAGTGGTTTTACCTAGTTTGAGGGGACAGACTTTAGGGACAAGAGGAAAGCAAGAGCTAGTGAAAAAGCAAAGGTGTAGCAGCCAAGAGGTAGGTAGAGAAAAAGACTGGTATGTTACAGAAACCAAGGAGAAAGATTTCAAGGGCATGTTTCTGGTCATCAAAGTCAAGTGCTGCAGAGATGAAAAGGAAGGTAGGAGCTGAGACTGGTCTTATGCATACAGTGATTTAAACTGTTCTAGAAGTTGTTTCAGGATTAAGAGAGCCAAAGCCAGATTACAGGTGGTTAAAAAATGAGAGGGTGGTGAAATCTTAAGTACTATAATAGAGCTGTACACTCACTTTTTGGACACTTAACATGAAGTACCTTGTAATGTTCTGGCTGTGTTTGCCTTGTCTCCCCAACTAGATTGACAACTCTCCACAGGTTATAACAACAAACCCAACCCCTAACACTGAATCAGCAGGTGGCATTTGAGTCACCAACTAGAGGTCAGAGACCTCAGATCTGGTATTGGTTCCACCATGTACCTTGCGCATGAGCAACTGTTTCCTCATCTATAAAATGGCTATACCCCTAACTTCCCTATCACATGGGCTGTTGAAAGTGTCTAATAGGACAGTATATACAAATGGATTTTGGGAGCTGAAAATTAGTATTCTATGGAAGATATTGAGAATGTTCAGTAAATGATAACAGCTACTTAGAAAGTTCTGTGATGATCAGTTTTTTGTTTGTTTGTTTAGATTCGTTCCTTACATTGGGATTGTGACGATCCTCATGAATGACTATCCTAAATTTAAGGTAAGATCCTGTACTATATGTTTCATTAATTCTGGAAACCGTTAAATGGATTACAGTTAAAAGATGGAAGACCAGTTGGATAGTTTGGTGATTTATCATAGTCACAAAGGCCAGTTTGTTAATCTGAGGATTTGTGAACTTTTAAAAACTTCCCTGACTTGTGGTTCTGTGTTTGTTTTCTAGTATGCAGTACTATTTTTGCTGGGTTTATTTGTGCTGGTCCATCGTGAGTAAGAAGTCTGCCTTGCTGTTCCTGGAAGATTCTGTACTTTTTGTTCCTGAATGTTTGGAGTAGATATCAATCTGTGGTTGGTGGAATGGAGAACACATGTTGGCGCTTCTTGGTAGCACTGGTTTGCATTAGTTTATGTTTCCACACCAGAGTGCGTGTGGGCGGGTGCATGTGCACCACAGCGTGCACTCGAGGGGACTTTCAATCACAGAATTTCATAAGTTGTCATTGTCACACTTTCGCATTTTTGTACATCAGTGAATTTTTTATATTAAAAGGTTGAGCCAAAGCCCCCAGTGTTTGTATTTTGAAGCCAAGCTTCACTTCTAAAGTGCCTACAGAGTTCTGTAAATGAAAATGCAGCTCTGCACGAGTTTGAAACTGTCATTCCTCCTTATAATGGGAATGGCATATACTGAGGTGGTCGTCGTCTTAACTTTTCAAAATTTTAAATAAAAGACTTTGCATATCGAAACCCCTTATCCCTGACTTGTGTTTGTTGGGAAAGCTTTTGATATTTGCTTTCCTGTGCTGGTTCGTAGCGCCCTTGGGGAGATAGAGGCTTTGATGGGAACAATTCTTCAGCCAAGAAGGTTGTCCTAATACTGACAACTGGTTTTTGTTTGTTTTGTTTTTGTTTTTGTGAAGCAAAAGTAGCCGTTGATATTTGTAAGAAATCTTAGTCATAAAATTGACTCTTCATTAGGGGGGTCTCAGATGTATATAAACCCAGCTGGTTGCCAAGAGGTTCAGAAAATCTCACTTTGCTGTAGACTTATAACCTTTTCTACACTTGAGACGTTCTCAACTCTTTCTACAAGATGGTAGTGAGTATTAGCATCTGGGAAGGCATGAGGAAGGTGCTGGAGGGCAAGTGTGCTACTTGTTTTCTTTTAGACTCTAATTTGCCTGAACCTGTTCTTGTAGGTGACTGACTTTTCTCTAATGCAGACTTTAAGAAGGGAAGGTTTAAAGTAGTAAAGGCAAAGCCCACCTGTGCTTTTCTTTTAATATTGAGACAGGGAAATAGGGAGCATGGGGTAACTCAATGTGTTTAAAGCACAAAATAATCTTAATCCTTTCTGTTCTCTTTTTGTATTAGTGTGAAATCTCAAAGTAAGCAAAATGTTGGGCTAAATGAATGGTTTCTATTACTTGTTCATCTGAGGTGGAAATCAGCCTGTACTTTAATGCTAATGGAATGAGAATAGGGACAGTTAATCTTTTGAAACCCTCCCCTGTAGAGATGGGCCATCCTAAATCCATTATCCAGGCTTTAGCCTTCAAACTTTGGATATGGGCTCTTAATGATATCAACAGAGTATGAAATTTGGCAAATTATTGCTGACAGGTGCTTCTTGAACCTGTCTTTGAGGCCTGTATCATGCTTATGTTTTCTCATGAGCCAAGGAGAGTGCTGAAATAAAGCGCGGGCCCCCCCCCCCCCGCCCCTCTCCCACCTCCATGTGTGGCCGAAAATTGCTGCTTCCTCCATTTTTCCCTCCTAGTAACCTGCAGATGACGGGGTTAATTGTTCAGCCTAAGTGGTGCCCTGGCTGTTTTTGTACCAGCCTTTCAGAGACTTCTCTGCGAGAGAAGCAGTGTGTGTTCTGTTGGCAAAAGTTGGGATCCCAAAGTTCTTTGTGATCCTAGTTGCCAGAGGGTAAACATCCTTGTGCTTCTATCTTCCGCTGTCCAGATTTCTCCTCCTGTTACACTGGTTGGGAGAGAAATGTTAATATTTTCTTCACTTGCATATTTTCACACCCAGTTTTGTAAAATTACTGTTTTTCCTCCTTTGCTGGTTGCTCTAGTTTGAAGCAACAGCTAAATTCTCTGAAAAGTAACCAGATCATTTAAAAATATTTCAATCACTCTAATAGCCCAAAATAAAAAGATTATTTGTGGAGACAGGTACTGTGTTCCCAGTTGTTATATTGTCTAGTGCTAAAACATAAGACTTAAAACTGGGAGATTTTATTAGTAAATATAATGTGGTTTTTGTGGGGGTTTTTTTTTTTTTCCGGCCATGCCAAGCGGCTTGTGGGATCTTAGTTCCCAACCAGGGATTGAACCTGTGCCCGTGCAGTGGAAGTGCGGAGTCTTAACCACTGGCCCGCCAGGAAGTCCCAGTAAATATAATGTATTTCAGAGCTCTTTGGAAATGTAAGAAATGCCAGAGATGTTTAATTTGGTGTTTTAATGGAATTATAAGCTGTTTGAGATTTCACAGGGCAAGTGGGAAGTTAGTAGGGTTTAACCATTGTGAGTGAAGGGAATGGAAGAGGATGAGAATTGATAAAACTTCAGATGAGAACATAATAATGGGATTCTCTGTTGGCTGTTAGTCATCCACTCTCATTAGTCTCTACAGCTTATCTCCAAGTGCCTGTCCTCAGTTATATTCTCTCTGTTCCCACTGGACACTTCCAGTTGATTGTCCTATCTTTAAACTTAAGCTCTTAGCAGTTCCTGCAAGCTTCCCCTCCAAATTTCCACTTTCCTTTGAAGGAGTATTCACCTAGATTTTTTCATTTTCTTACCATATTTAGTCACTTAAAAGCCAACATCTACCCCTGTCATTCCATTCTCATTGCCATCCTCCGAATCCAGAAACATACTCAGGGGCTCCCTGTTGCTTGTGTGTCTTTATGTCCCAGTTTTCCTGTAACATGGCAGTCTGTACCTATTTTAGATCATTTCCACCTGTTAGTTCATTTTACTACTCCTTTCACCTTTAAAAAGTATCTCTTTTTGGACCATAAATTTTGTATTTACCCTACATATTACCTACGTTTGAAGTTCAAACTTTGAATTCAGCTAACATGAAGCAGCCTTTGCTATACCACTGTGTTTTCCCTTATATTATCTTACACTCTCATTTCTGCTTGTCTGGGTCTCACTTTCTTCACAAAGTAATTGTTCTTTGTCTGTCACTCAGCATTTGCAGACTTATGCTATTTTGTGTTAAGTTTGTGGATCTGGACTCAAGTTTCCTCATCAGATTGTAAGTTCCTCCAGTGCAGGAGCCCCGTTTTATAGACACCGTACTCTCTTTTCCCAGTAGCATCTAGCAGCATATACTAAATGTTCAGTATAATCATGCATTGGAACCAGAGGCAGTAACTAAGGGTAGCATTATTGTTGTGCTGTTATTCTGGAGCAGAGCGTATGAATCATTAAAGTGATTTGTATTTGCCTGTTATTGAGTAAGTACCTTATCTTGGTCTTGGCCAAATTTAAATCTAAAAACTTTATCTCCCTATGGTTCCATCTAAAACAGCATGTTGCCTTTCTAGAATTTTTGATGTTAACCCTGTTTTCTTCTTTTGTGTGTGTGTCCTTGGTCTCTTCTCGTGTTCTCTTTCTCAATGGGAAAAATATTGGCATTTGTCGCTTTTCTTAGGGAGTGACAGGCTTCTCAAAGAGCCTAGGCTTGGAATAAAGGCTCTGTTATCCCTGAGTGCATTTCTTAGTCATTTGCATAAGGGTGTTACCAAGTCCTAATAACTCCTCAGATGTGGGAGCTACCCCAGGTTCTGAGGGTACCTTTGTTATCACTTTGTTGTGCTTCAGAAATTTATCACTCTGTTGTGCTTCAGAAATTCTAGCTGACTAACTGGATTGTCCTCCTTCCTCAAGATGCTCCTTAGTCAGGATGGCCTACTCAAGCTGTTTTCTGGCCAGGTATATCTTTGTCACTATTCTCCCTTACTATAACCGTAAGTAATACCAGAGAAGTTTCAGAAATAAACAAATATGACTCTTCACAGGTAATTATGGTGAGTCTGGATGTAGAAATAATTCTGTGTAACCAAGAGGTGTTAGGAACTAGAATATGCAGGGGTTATCAAAAAATAGTGAGGACATTGTCTTCCAAGTTATGTAGCATTCTAGGCCCTCAGGAATTTTCCAACCTCAGCTCCCAGCAGACCCCAGGTTCTCATACCCTTGATATTGGTCTCACTATACAGACACCCAGTCTTTGCTTACGCTAGGTCTCCCTGCCTGGAGTGCCTGCTCACTTCTCTACTCGCTAAAAGCTTTCTCATTCAGGAGACATTTATTGAGCATCTGCTCTGCCAGATTTTGGGTCAGGCCCTGGGGATACAAAGATGAGTAAGGCAGGGTCCCTCCTCTGCCAGGAACTCAGTGCCTTAATAGGGGCAACGTGTAAACAAATCTTTCCACATAGGATCATAAGTGCAACGTTAGAGATTCACAGGGAGCTCAAAGAGGGTTTTTTTTTTAATTCTCAAGCAAGATCTCAAGTATATAGTGCCTCCTTCTCGGTGCTGCCTACTCAGTACTTTGTTCATCGCCCTCAGAGTGGTTTGTTTGTGTCCTGCTCCGCAACTAGCTCCTTGAAGGCATTAAGACAGGGCCAGCCTCTAGTTCATCCTTGTATATCCCTTAGTCCCTATCACAGTGCTTTTATACATTTTAGATTTATTTATATGCTGCTTTGTTCCAAAAAGGATTTGGAGTGGCTCATAAAGATACATCCAGTACTATGTGATAAAACATGAAACAACTGAAGAATCTGGTGTTGAAATAAGCATGGGAGGAGAAAAGGATAAAATCAAAGGTTATATTAAGTACCTGCAAGACATATCAAAAGATTCTGTTGTCTGCTGGAGGAGATCCCTAGCATCAGTTCTCAACTCCTAGGGGCTAATGTCTATGCTTCATGGAATGGGTATAAAATGGAAATTTTTTAAAACTTGTAATGATACCCGAAGATCAAGAAATTTCTCTTCTGGGACCTCACTGCAAGGACACTGTGTAATGTTATGCAATAATCTCTATATTAATTAGCTAGCCTAATGGCTTTCATAGAGCTGTTTCAGAGAATGTTCCTTTAGTATAGGTATAGTTTGGCTACTTCTGCAGAAAGCCACCTCACAAAAGATCAGCTACCCATCTAATCAGCCAGGAACCTTCAGTTAGTTTTCCTGTAGAACAGTGTTCCTTAATCTTTAAAAACACATGGTCTTTTATAAGAAACAAAATTTCATACCTCTTCTCCATTCTGGTAAACCTCCTCTCAGGTCTGTTATATCCAACCTCTTATCCTTAGCAGCCAAGAATATTTTATCTTGCTTTTTCTTAAGTTTGCATTATAAAAACGTTAGTTACTCATCTCTCATATACAGTTATATTCAATATGACTTTCAAATTTTAGATCCTTGTTCTACTAATCTTAGGAGTTTCTGGAATGCCACCTACTCTCCATCAAGAATCATTTCTGTAGAACCCTTACTTTAATTGGCCGGTTTATTTAGATTGCTAAGCTGGATCCCAGCTTTAATTCAAGGAGTCTAGTAATTTGTACTCAGGACTTAGATCAGGCAAGGAAGTAAATCAGCTATAGCATGAAGCTTTGATCAGAGTTGTCAGCCTGACAACTTATTTAAGCAAGAAAAGAGAATGCTGTATAGAACACGTTTCTTGGAATTGGTAAATAGCTGAGGTAGATACGCCAGCATTTTAGTTTATCAAATGAGTCACAATGTAATAGGCATTTTGCCAAGGCATTTTGTTGACTGTTGTGTCAGCACCACGGTCTTAGCTGCTATCCAGGGAATCTTTTTTCCCTGTAATGGGCTTCAGATTTAAAGCAGGCTTTGCTTTTCCTAGGATCCAGCTAATAATACTGAGTACTTAGAATTTTCCAGTGCTCTGCTAAATGCTTTTGAATTTATAACAGATTTTTTTCTCCTTTAGTCCTCAGAATAACTCCATTTTACAAAAGAGAGAAACTTGAAGTTAAGAGATTTGCCCAGGATCTTCTGGTCCATGGATGGCAGAGCCAGAAGTCTTGCTTTTATCACCTCACAATGCTGGGTGTCATACCCAGTTCTTCTACCTTTATAAAATCTAATGAGACTCTTTTATTTGGAATAAACCCCACAATTGCAAGGCCCTTGGGTATTCTTCTTTAGAAGCCCTAGGTGGTTCTTTCATCGATTTGCTTAGATTAGTAAATCTCCTAGAAATAGGGAGATTCTCAGGCAGATTTCCAAGCATTTAAACCTCTTTGGAGTTTAAAGATTATTTCTTTCAGTTACTGAAATGTCCCCTGAAGTACCTGTTAAACCCAAATAATCTTATGAATGCTGGGCCTGGAGCTTCTCACTTGGTTAGGTTTTCATAACTTCCCTAAGCGTCTGTGCCATTTAGCTGAGCAGCAGCTACTTAGCTTAGCCACTGTTGGCATCATCATCACTTTCTCATTAGATGTATCTTCTCTTTTCTTTTGAATATTGCCTTAAAAGTTTTTTTTGTATTTTGGCAATTTAAGTTTCTGAAATAGTTCCTTATCAATGGTTAATGTTCTGATATTCTAGCTAGTTCCTATGTGTTCCCTCTGACTTTGCATCAAATATCCCTGATTCTTTTCTTCCTCTCTTAAAGATTACACTCTTCTCCTGATTCTACAGCCCCTTCCCCTTTCTGAAACTAAAGAGCAGGACCTGAGGTACCCCACGATATTTCTCTTTCTCTCCACAACCCATGCAGATGGGATCTGTGCTCAGAGGTTTGCCAGAAGAGTGATTTTACACCATCCTATTCTGAGCAGCTCTAATAGGTTTGTCATCCTTTTTCTCTAGGCTCATTTATGTCTAATTTAAATTTCTGCTTTTTGTTTTCTCTTTTGTCCTCTGTACCTTTCATGTGTTTGATGTCTACACTCTGGTTTTCTCCATTTGTTTAGTTTGTCTGCAGCTAACTTGCTTTTACTTGAGTTAACTCCTCTATTAAATGGGCATAATACTAGTCTTTACTACATCAAAATAGTGTTGGTGATCAAAGGAGCATGCATGTAAGTGCTTTTGGAAAACAATATCAAAAAAGATTCAGCTGTGAAAAGACATTATTTGTAATTGATTCCAATTTAATGAAATATAGCAAACAGTAATATATATGTCCTTTATTTCGAGCAATTTTTAATTAAAAACATGGTGCAGTTTAAATGTTTTGTTGGTGTTGGTTGTAAGAGGATTTGCCGTGTATCTTTCACCCCTTAGTCATCTTTTGGGTTGTCCTTTGAATCTTCTCTACATCGTCTGTGAATGTCCTTGGATGTTGTAGAAACCTCAGAGGGCCAAGAGTGAGCTCTGGGGAATTCCCTGGTGGCGCAGTGGTTGAGAATCTGCCTGCCAATGCAGGGGACACGGGTTCGAGCCCTGGTCCAGGAAGATCCTACATGCCGTGGAGCAACTAAACCCGCGAGCTACAACTACTGAGCCTGCGTGCCTAGAGCCTGTGCTTCGCAACAAAGAAGCCACAGCAATGAGAAGCCCGCGCACCGCAACGAAGAGTAGCCCCCGCTCACCGCAACTAGAGAAAGCCTGTGCACAGCAACGAAGACCTAACGCAACCAATAAATTTATTTATTTATTTATTTATTTATTTATTTATTTATTTATTTATTTATTTATTTATTTATTAAAAAGAGTGAGCTCTGAAGAGCTTCTCCATGCACGTGCATGTGATTCACTGTCATTCTTCCCGGTGGGAGAGAGGACTTGGGGAACAGGCAGTCTGCAGTTGAGATCCTCATTCTAAACTCAGCCCAGCACTCCATGAGGGATCCGACTTGGAAGTGCTGTCTTGGGCAAGCCCGCCTCTCTGCATTGCCTGATGCTTCACATTCCTGGGACAGTGTTTGATAGTTGGCTGTGGAGCTGCTGCCCTGCTTCTTTCCCCAGGGTCCTCGGAGGCCCCTTTTTTCCTCTGCTAGGCTGACAGATAAAATGATCCTAGGGGCATCTGGGGTCATTTTCACAGCTGTGGTTGGAGCTGCGAGTGCAGGCTATGTCAGAGGAGGCTTGCTTAAGTATAAATGAACCTGTCAGAGCAGAACCAAGGTCCCAGGGTCACCTGCAGAAGAGAGATGAAACTCAGTCAGTGCCTGCTCCCTCTCCCCCTTGGGAAATCTAAACCAACTTGATATTTAAATGGGAAGGTAAAACGGGAGTGGGTGTGGTTTAGGGAAAGCAGCATCTGTCCCTGATGACTCTGGGGCCTGACACAGTGATCTGAACAGACCCGAAGTCTGATTCCAGTGTGACGTCTGGGCAAGTGACTCAACCTCTAAGCCAGCTTCCAGCTATAAAATGAGGAGAGATAAACCTACCAAATAAGATTCCTTCAAGCATTTAAGTGAGGCAGCACTCAGTACCACCTCCTAATTTCTATGACCGCGGACCAGAGAAGATAGGATGGGTGCTGTGATTGATGCAGAGGAGAGGGAGGGGGTTGAAAAGGGAATGATTATTATGGGAAGGTGATAAGAGCCATATCTGCACACCATGGCTAAGCAGTGACAAGAGTACAGAGAGGTGTAAATGCCAGGGTGGGAGATGAGAAGGAGATTGGGAAAAAAGCCAGAAATGGAATGTCCTTGTCCTGTGTGTCGTGCTTTCTGGGAGCTCAGCATGACAACCAGCTTCTCATACACGCTTCCCCTTTTAAGATGGTGATCCACAGAGCTAGCAGGCCTTGCTGAGCTAGATATGGCAAGAGTAATAACAGCAAGTACTGTTTTTGAGCCAGACTGGGGAGTAGGTTCGGTCACAGCCACACTGTGCAGTGTTTCTGAGAAGAGTCCAGGGCCCAGGGGTTGGTCAGTACCCTGCTCCTCCATCATTCACTCCTTTTGTACTCTGTCTCTCTAATGAGATGGTAAACTCCTGTGGGAGCAGGGCACTATCTTTTGTGTCCCTGCCCTCCTGCGCCTGGCATAGTGCTCTGAACATTGGTGTTTAGTAAACATTTAAGCAAAAATAAATGTATTATTCTGGAGCACAGTGTCTTCTATTCATTAAGTGCTGCCACTGACCCAAAATTTCTTTCCAAGACAAGTCTGGACAGCTCCTTTGGAGGAGACTTTGAGAGGGAGTCCAAAATAACAAATTATCTTGTTGCTTCCTGCCACAAAATAATTGGGCTAAAAAATGTAAAACTATTAAAAATAGGGCAGTGTGGTTATTGCCATTTTACAATTGAAGAAGGTGAGGGTCAGTGAGGTCACACAGCTTGTATATGGACTCTTGGTGCTCTTTTCACTCCCCTGACCCAAAGATCTGCCTCCTGGCCAACTGATAAGCCAGTCTCTCCCAAGCTGGGCGCCCATTTGTGGGGGGAGGGTGGGGGAGGGGAGGGCTCGGCCATCCATCGTTCTGCACTCCTACCCTGAGCACCTGCTGTGATTTCCACAGCACCTGGTGAGTGCCGGCTGTGAGAAGGCAGAGAGCCGGTGAACCCGGTCAGATTCCCCAGGAGGGAAGGGCCGACTGACATTTTATGGAGCTCCTCTGGTGCCTGGCACTATGCTGGGCACTGTAACGCCTGTGTTACACAGGAGGCGTCTTCGCCCCCTTTTCTACCCTTAGAAAGAGGCACAGAGGTGAAGGAACCGCTCGTTGGCCGAAAGCCCTTGGGAGCGGTGAGGGAGGGCCAGGGGAGCCGGCTTTGCCCAGGTCCCCAGCTTGGAGGTGGTGGGCTTGGGCCCGAACGCCCTGAGGAAGCGGTGCCCACGTGGGGTTAGGAATGCGGCCCTGCGGACTGTGGAGGGGGCCCCTGACCAAGACCCCCGCCCAAGGGCTGGCGAGGACAGGAGGGTCGGAGGAGGGCGGGGCAGGAGCGACAGCGAGCGCGCCGGGGCGGGCTCTTCGGGGCAGGCTCCGCCCCCAGGGGCGCGGGTTTAAAAGGAGGGAAGGCGCGCGTCAGGTACCTGAGCCGTGGGTAAGTGCACCTGAACTGAGGTGCGGCCGGCACCCAGCCATGACCCTGCGGGCGCGGGGCGCTCGACTGCTCGGAGGCCTTCTGCTCTTCGCTCTGCTCGCTGCCGGCGCCGCCCCGTTTAGCTGGGATCTCCCGGAGCCCCGCAGCCGGGCCAGCAAGATCCGAGTGCACCCGCGGGGCAATCTCTGGGCCACCGGTAAGTCTTCGCGGTACGGGCAAGCGCCCCCCACCCTGCTCTGACCCCATTTTCCTTCTCTGGCCTCTCCTCAGCCATGGACACTAGTGTCCAGGCTAGAGGGGACCCTGGAACTCATCTAACAGATGGGGAACTTGAGACCCAGACCCAATGACGGTTAAATCACTCACCTAGCCAGTTTAAAGCAGAGCTGGGGCTGGATCCTAAATCTACCTGCCAGCCCGTGCCCCTTCTCTTAGACAAGACTCTACTGAATCTTCTAACCTCTGGTGTGTCTTCTCTCTGCACCTCCACCTTCCAGACTCCTCTTGTTCTCCACTTCCTTCTCTGCCGTTCCTTGTCCCTCTTCTAAGCAGACAGCACAACTGGCAGAGTTTCTTCCTGGCCCTGGGGCATCCCACCCTCCTTCCAGCTGTGCCGTCCCCTCCACCCCATCTACCTGCTCAGGAAAAGCTGAGGTACAGGCTTTGCCACCACCCGCGGTCTTTGTAGCTCCTGGTGACGAGGAGGAGGAAGGTTGTGTATCTTCCTGCCATGAGAACTGAAAAGTGGGAGAGATGGGGAGCTTTCCCACGGGGATAGGATCCTTGCTCCCTGACTCCCTTGTGCCTCGGCACCTCCTTTCTAGGTCACTTCACGGGCAAGAAGAGTCTGGAGCCCCCCAGCCCATCCCTATTGGGGACAGCTCCCCACATCTCCCTGAGGGACCAGAAACTGCAGCTGAGTCATGATCTGCTCAGGATCCTCCTGCAAAAGAAAGCTCTGGGCATGAGCCTCAGCGGCCCAGCACCTCACACCCAGGTGAGCCAGGCCCGGGAGAGGCTCAGCCAGGGCTGCCCCTGGATCCAGCATTGGGCTTACGGTGTGAGTGCCCAGCCAGGGTGTGATAGGCCCACCCAAGAAAGTCAGCGATTCTAGGCTCTCCCTGTGATCTAGAGCTCAAACGGAGAGGATTCTGAAGAAAGAAAGCTGACCTTCCCAGCAAACCCCATGGAACAAAAAGTGGGGGAAGACGTTCCCCTCACCCATTGCCCAGTCTAAAGTCACAGCCTGGGATTATCCAGCAGGACCTTCCCCTACCTCCACCCCAGTCTACACAGACTTGCCCCACCCCAGCTGTCCACCTTTGCTGTGCCCTGTATGTGCCTGCTGGGACCCTGAGGCTCAGAGAAGGGATGAAAAGACTTAGTTAGCAGCTAAGACAGAGTCTAGACCTTGTTCACCTTGACCAGTGCTCTTCCCAGGCTCTCATCTGCCTCAGTGACCAGTGGCAGAGTTTCTCAACGCCAGCACTTGATATTCTGGGCTGGACAGTTCTCTGTTGTGGGAGTTGTCCTGTGCATTGTAGGACGCTTAGCTGTGTCCCTCGTCTCTATCCACTAGAGTATGGATAGATACTGTTAGGACAACCAAAAATGCCTCCAGACATTGCCAGAGGTCCTCTGGGGAGGGGACAGGGGAGGGAGCCAAAATCACCCTGGGTTGTAAACCACTGACAGTTCAAGGCTCCAGAGTTGAAGCCAAGCCAGCTTTCATCTCCAGCCTGGCAGAGGGGCAACTCCTCCATTCTCTGTCCCTGGCACTGTCGCCATCCCACACCACCTTCCCTGGTACTTCGTTGCTATGTGAAGAAGGCATTGTAATGTGGTAGAATGGGGGCTCTGGTGACAGCATGCTGGGCTCATAAGCTAGCTACTTAGTAGCTGTGTGACCTTAGAAATGTCATTTAACCTCTCCAAGCCTCATCTTCCTCATCCATAAAATGGGAACAGTAGTGCCCCTCTCCTCTTAAATGAGACCATTTGTGTCACATGCTGAGCATGATGCCTAATGCATAGAAAGCACTTAGTAAACAGGAGCTGTTGCCAGTCTGTGAGCTTCCTGGCAGCACCAGTGGCTGACTTAACTTTGTGTGCCCCATCGTGCCTAGCCCTAGCGTATAATATGTACATCTTGAAAGAAGGGAGGGGCATTCCCTACAAAAGGTTCATCCCCAGCCCCATGGGGAACTAAGATCCCACATGCCGCGCAGTGTGGGCAAAAAAAAAAAAATGAACCACCAGCCTCTGGAGACCTCAGATGTAAGGGCCAGGTGCTCGGGCTGGCTAAGTCTGAAGGCAGACAATGTCCCCTCCGGGGCCACCGGTCTCGAAGGCCTGAAACATGAAGACCAACTAGAGAATCTCAGAGGAAGCAGTACTTAGCCTTGCGGGGTGGGACTTCAGAAGTGAGGTCTTGGGCAGAGCTGGAGGTGGGGGAGTAAAAACACTGTCCGGCCCAGGGCCAGGCATGGTGCTTGGACTTTACTTCTATGATCTCCTTTGACTGTCATGACCACTCTGTGAGGTTGAGGCTGTTACTCTGAGAAAACCACCACCCTGACCCCTCCCAGGCCCTTCAGGGAGAAAGGCACTGGGGGGCCTGCCCCTGCCTACCTCTGTGGATGCCTAGCACTTAGGAATGGCAGGATGCCCCTATCTTATCGTATAAGATATCCTAAATATTGCACGGACATACTTAAACGAAAAAAATTATTCGTTGTTTACCTAAAATTGGAATTTAACCGGGCGTCCTGTATTTTATCTGGCCTTTTCCTCTGATCTGCAAATACCCGGTCATAAAACGAGCGTGTATTTGGTCCCTCAGGCCCCGCCCGGAACTGACATCCCGGGAATCCCTGAATTTGCGTCTTGTTTCCAGGAGTGCTTATCCGGAGAATCCCGGACCTAGCTAGCTAAGGGTACTGCTGGTCCGCGGCGGCGCTAGGGCACCTCTAAGGCCCCACCCCCCGGTCAGACTAGGCCGCGCCCCACTCCTCGCGAGAGGGCCGCGCTTGCCCAGGAAGGTTCAGAGGCGGAAGTGGGGTACCGGAAGCGACAGTTGCCATGGAGCCCTCGGAGGACTGGCTGGTGGAATCCTTGCGCTTGTAAATCGTGTGGGCTTGGGACGTGGAATCCGGGGCTGGAGCTGGCTTGGGGGCGGACGGGCGTGGCATGGAGCGCGCAGGGAACCTGTACGGAGGACTCCGCCTGGGCCTCGGCTCCCGCAGCTGGGAAATGGCACCTTCCTGTGTGCGCAAATTGTGTGAAGTACTAGTAGGGGCAGTGCTTGTGGAGGATAATAATAACATAAGTGACTGTTTATTTTGCGCCAGGCTCTGAGTTAAACCTTAAACAAAGATTATCTCGATTCCTCACATCAACCTTGGGAAGTCTTGAGTACTCTAGGAGTTCCATTTTACAGATGAGGACGAGACTCAGGGAAACTGTGACTGGCCTGCGTCCAGTCACACCGGGGATGAAATGTGTAACAAGGCTTGATCCCAGTTCTGCCTGATTCCAGAGCCTGGGCCCCCAACTGCCGAACCATGCTAACATCTCAGGTTCTTTAACAGCTGTAAAGTGCCATGCATCATGTGATGTTGTGTCCCTGTCATGCAGGTACCAGGATTTCCATGCATTCGACCTCTCGGGAGCCACTCGAGTCCTTGAATGGATTGGTGACAAAGGTGATATGCCCAGCCTGGCCCTGAAGAACCAATCCTCAAGCTGGAACTCAGGAGCTCAGCCCAGAGGGACCCAACCCCTCTTCTGGGAGCTTGAGGGCCTCTTGGTCACTTGTAGCAATTTCATGCCCCATCAGCATTATATTTCTCTTATGAAGATCTAGATCTCTTCCATCCCTCAGTACAAGGCTGCATACCAATGGCAGAAGAGTTTGTCTTTGCTTTGGGAGATTTGGCAGAGTGTCTGGACCCAGCTGTGGTCCAGAATCTTTCTAGCACTTTGTCACAGCTTATTCTGCTTCTTTTTCCAGGAATCTTGGTTTCTGGCTATGAAAACCTGAAAAAAAATGAGATTCTTCATCTGATATTACCTCTCAGACTTTCTGTAAAAGAAAACCAGGTAACTTGAAATATTTATGCTGAGTATATGTGTCTACTTCTACTCATTTATTAAATCTTTATGGAGCTCCTATTGTCTACTAAATATTGTCCTGGATACGAGAAAGAGAGAAACTGTAAGCCCTGGGCCTGCCCTTATAGTCTAATAAAGGGAGGCAAATGTGCACAGAGGTAAGTTGTACAGAAAGTCCTGTGATTTACAGAGGGCTCCTAGAGCAAGAAGTCAATTATACTTTATCAAGAATAGATTTAGGGGGAATTCCCTGGTGATCCAGTGGTTAAGACGCCACACTTCCACTGCAGGGGGCCCGGGTTCGATCCCTGGTCGGGGAACCAAGATCCCATAAGCCGTGCCACACGGCCGAAAAAAAAAAAAATTTAGGGAGCAGTTAGAGTATGAAGGGTGGTTGAAGTCTTAGAATGGTTAAGATCACCTAGGATGAATGTGTAGTATATAAAGAATAAGAGGAGAAGTTGGCTAAAGACAGAACCTCAGGGAGAACATTTAAGAAATGGGTAGAGAGGGGCTTCCCTGGTGGTGCAGTAGTTGAGAGTCCGCCTGCCGATGCAGGGGACACGGGTTTGTGCCCCAATCTGGGAAGATCCCACATGCCACGGAGCGGCTGGACCCGTGAGCCATGGCCGCTGAGCCTGCGCGTCCGGAGCCTGTGTTCCACAACGGGAGAGGCCACAGCAGTGAGAGGCCCACGTACTGCAAAAAAAAAAAAAAAAAAAAAAGAATTGGGTAGAGGAAGATGATGAACCCACAAGGAATACTGAGAAAGAATAACCTTTGAAGTAGGAGTCTCAAAAAAGGCCAGTGATCCAGAAGCCAAGAGATAAGAATGTGTCACGAAGAGTTGATAGCTGCCTAATGTTACTATAAAATCACTCAGGCTCATTGGCTAGATCAGCCCTGCCTTTATCGCCCTTGGGTAAATTTCCTTCCTAATGTTCTTGATCTTCCTCATCCCTACCCCTCAAGCTGAGTCAGGAGCTCACCAAAATTGAGCCTTGATGAGAGACCTGATTTACCTCCCGCCTCACCCCTGGCTTTCCCTCTCTTCTCTTGTGGCCACCTCCTCTTCCCCTGCCTCCGGTTCCTCACGTGGAGATAGTAGAGTCTAGTGGCTAAGAGCATGGACTTCGGTTAGACAGACTTGGGTTCAGATGTATAATGTAACCCGTGTGACCTTAGAAAAGTTGCTTAAGCTCCTTATGTCTTGGCTGTGTCATTTTAGAACAGGGATAATTATACTGCCCAGGTCACAGGGCGGTTGTAAGAATTCAATGTGATAAAGTAAAGCACTAAACAGGGTGGCTGACACAGTGAGCACTGGATAATTGGCAGTTGTATTTTTTTTAATTAATTAGTTTATTTTATTTATTTATTTGGCTGTGTTGGGTCTTTGGTGCTGCGCGGGCTTTCTCTAGTTGTGGTGAGCAGGGGCTACTCTTCGTTGCTGCTTGTGGGCTTCTCATTGCGGTGGCTTCTCTTGTTGCGGAGCACAGGCTCTAGAACGCGGGCTTCAGTAGTTGTGGCACGCAGGCTCAGTAGTTGTGGCTCGCGGGCTCTAGAGCACAGGCTCAGTAGTTGTGGTGCACGGGCTTAGTTGCTCCGCGGCATGTGCAATCTTCCCAGACCAGGGCTCGAATCCATGTCCCCTACATTGGCAGGTGGATTCTTAACCACTAGCAGGTGGATTCTTAACCACTGAACCACCAGGGAAGTCCTGGCAGTTGTATTTTTATTGCTGGAAGAACCCACCTAACTTCCAGTGCGAGGTGTGGGGAGGAATGGGGCTGTGTTAGTTGGCTTATACATTCCACCTTTCTCTGTTAAGCCTCTGTGAATCCTCTAAGAAGGCTTGGAATATAACACTTGTGCTGTGGTGAAAGGTTAGAAGAAAGGTTTTGGATGTGCAGGAAAGAAAGGAAGCTATCTGTGTAAGGAGGTGAGACCAACATTTGCAAATAACAGCACCCTGAGGCCCTGCCCAGAGAAGCATCATTGCCACCTGAGCGGCTTCCGTGGCTTCCTGCCAGGCTAGGATATGGCTCCTTACCTAGAACTTGTCTGAAACATTCCTTTGGAGAGCGGTCCCCTATCTGATTGGCCACCCCTTTGTATTTTAGGGCTTATTCCCTGAAAGAGATTTCAAGGTACGGCATGGAGGATTTTCAGACAGGTCTGTCTTTGATCTGAAGTATGTGCCAGACACCAGGTATGGTCAGCTCTGTGACCCAGACCTTCCATTCAGGATGGAGTGGCTGGAACTTTAGGGGTATCCTGTATCTTTATCACCACCCCTCCCCATCCCACCTCAGGACAGGGGCACATGGGAGGGCATGTGCACACACAGATCTGGAATACAAAGAAACCAGTGCTCGGTGGCTTTACGGTCCCTCACAGACCTCTTGACTATGGTAACCCACAGATTGCTGGCGTTGCACTAGGGAATAGATATAAAGTAGAAGGGATGCTCTTAGCGTCTCAGAGAGCTGGTGGTGGGTAGTTGGGGCTAATAGCTCAGTTGGCAGAGGCCAGAGCCTCTGGGTGAGGCTTCTGTGTTCAGGCTCCCTGCTGGGTCATGCCACGTTCAAGCCAGGGCTCAGTTCCACAACTCTCTGTGAGCTGTGGACCTGTCCCTAAAGGGGAATGAGCCTGCTCCCCCTCTGTTAAATGAGGGTGACTGATCTTGATGACCCCTCCCTGCGTAAGCTCTCCTGATACGGGGAGTGTAGGAATCCCATGCTGAGTGGGCTGGAGAGGGAGAGGCTGAGGGCTGTTGGGGTGAGCTCCCCGCTGTATGGGCTGAGATTTCTTATCCATCCTGAATAGGTTGCTGGTGACCAGTGGCCTTCCCGGTTGTTACCTGCAGGTGTGGCAGGTGGCGGAGGACAGCGGTAAGTGACTTTGACTCGGCGGGGTTGGGTTTGTAGGAAAGCCTGTTACTCTCACACCCCCAATCCCTAATCTGAGCCAGTTTAGAAACAGACTCGGGGCTTCCCTGGTGGCGCAGTGGTTGAGAGTCCGCCTGCCGATGCAGGGGACACGGGTTCATGCCCCGGTCCGGGAAGATCCCACATGCCGCGGAGGGACTGGGCCCGTGAGCCATGGCCGCTGAGCCTGCATGTCCGGAGCCTGTGCCCCGCAACGGGAGAGGCCACAACAGTGAGAGGCCCGCGTACCGCAAAAAAAAAAAAAAGAAAGAAACAGACTCAGAGCCATTGGGAATTAAAATGCAGTATCTACTGGGACTTCCCTGGCTGTCCAGTGGTTAAGACTCTGTGCTTCCACTGCAGGGGGCACAGGTTCAGTCCCTGTTCGGGGAGCTAAGATCCCACATGCCACATGGTGTGGCCAAAAAAAATTTTTTTTAATGCAGTATCTACTTTAATGCAGCAAAGGTGAATTAGCAGCCACAGCAGTGCCCACAAGCCCCAGGTGGAGCTTCCAATAGCTTGCTTCAGGAATTGAGTTTACCAGCCCAGCCAGAGGCAGAGCACCTGGTGAACTTCGGGCCCCTCCCACCCCAGGCAGGGGCAGAGCGAGGGCAGCAGGGAGGTCACCTCTCACTGCAGGCATGCTGCTCTCAAGGAGGGAAAACAGTGAGTGAGCACAAGGCTGGGCTGACCAGTCTCCCACTCAGAGACGTAGCTCTGCTGCCCAACGGGAACAGGAAAGTTGGGAAAGGCGCAGGAAGCGTTAGTCCTGTTCCTCTGGGAGTCGGGGGAGTTCTCTCATAGTATCCCCTCCAGCAGGAGGTTTGCAGTTCCCCTGTCAGGCAGGCACCAGAGCCTGCAGCCCTGATCCAGCCCCTGCCATCCCTCCTTGGGTTAGAGCATTGTTGACCAGCGTGGAAGCGGGCCTCAGAGGCAAAGGCAGCTGCTCTTGGAACTGCCCCTTGGCTTGTGTGGTCCTCTGCCTCACTTGGATGCTTCCCAGAAACCGGTAGCAGCTGTTGACTTCTCCCCAAGCTTCACTGCTGCAGGAAGGTGGTTCTGGTCCTCATTTGGTTTTTGAGGTCACTGACCCTGTGGACTTTCCTTTGTTGTTTCTTCCTTGTCACTTGTCTTATGCTGTAGCTTCTAGGTGTGTGTATATACTTATTTGTAGTTATGATTGTTTATTTTTTCATAATTTTATTGAAAGTCACCCATTTTTAGTATACAGTACAGTGATTTTTTTTTTTTTTAGTAAATTTAACAAGTTGTGCAACTATAATCAGTTTTAGGATATTTTCATGACCCCAGTAAGATCCATCATGCAATTACTATTAACCCCCGTGCCCACACCCTGCCCCAGGCGACCACTAATCTGCTTTCTGTCTCTATGCTAGATTTGCCTTTACTGGATATTTCATATCAGTGGAATCATACAACATGTGGTCTCTTGTATCTGGCTTCGTTCACTGAGCATAGTACTTTTGAGGTCCACCATGTCATACAATGTCATAATGTGTATCAGCAGTTTGTTCCTTTTTATGACTGAACAGTATTCCATTTATGGATGTATCACATTTGTCTATTTGTTCACCAGTTGATGGATCTGATTTTTGGTTATTAGGAATAATGCTGCTAAGAACATTCATGTACAAGTCTCTGGACATATGTCTTCATATGTCTTGGATAGACATTAGGAATAAAATTGCTGGATCATGTGGTAAACTTATGTTTGATTTTTTTTTAATTTTTTTTTGTTTTTTGTTTGTTTGATTTTTTAAGAAACTCCCAAACTCTTTTCCAGAATGGCTTCATCATTTACATTCCCACCAGCAGTGTATGAGGGTTCCTGTTTCTCCATGTCCTCACCAACATTTGTTATTATCTGTCTTTTTTATTAAAGCAGTCCTAATGGATGTGAAATTGTATATCATGTGGCTTTCATTTGCAATTCCTTAATGACTAATAATGTGGAGCATCTTTTTATATGCTTATTAGCCATTCATGTATCTTTGGTAAAATGCCTATTCAAATCTTCCTAAGGGTGTTCTGTTATTTTTTTCCCCCCTAGCAGGCTGAGATAACAAGCTGTCACAGGCCCTTTGATATGCCAGTTTCATTGTACATTTTAATAGATACTTGTTCGGATTAATTAACAATCTATAAGATGTAACAGTAATATTAATGAGTGTATATTATATTCCAGGCACTGTACTAATCACTTTCCATGTGTGATCTCATTAAATTCTCATAAGTCTGAGAATAAACTCTTTCC